GTAGCGAGGACATTGGATCTTAGTCCACCTCTTGGCCCGCGTGGCAGCCTGGTGGAAAACACAACAAAGCGAGGACCACAGTCCGAACACACACCGCAGTCCGAACACACACAGCGTGTATCGTAGCGTCGTAGCGAGGACCTTGGATCTTAGTCCACCTCTTGGCCCGCGTGGCAACCTGGTGGAAAACACAACAAAGCGAGGACCACAGTCCGAACACACACCGCAGTCCGAACACACACAGCGTGTATCGTAGCGTCGTAGCGAGGACCTTGGATCTTAGTCCACCTCTTGGCCCGCGTGGCAACCTGGTGGAAAACACAACGAAGCGAGGACCACAGTCCGAACACACACCGCAGTTCGAACACACACAGCGTGTATCGTAGCGTCGTAGCGCGGACCTTGGATCTTAGTCCACCTCTTGGCCCGTGTGGCAGCCTGGTGGAAAACACGACGAAGCGAGGACCACAGTCCGAGCACACACACCGCACACACAGCGTGTATCGTAGCATCGTAGCGAGGACATTGGATCTTAGTCCACCTCTTGGCCCGCGTGGCAACCTGGTGGAAAACACAACGAAGCGAGGACCACAGTCCGAGCACACACACCGCACACACAGCGTGTATCGTAGCATCGTAGCGAGGACATTGGATCTTAGTCCACCTCTTGGCCCGCGTGGCAGCCTGGTGGAAAACACAACAAAGCGAGGACCACAGTCCGAACACACACCGCAGTCCGAACACACACAGCGTGTATCGTAGCGTCGTAGCGAGGACCTTGGATCTTAGTCCACCTCTTGGCCCGCGTGGCAACCTGGTGGAAAACACAACGAAGCGAGGACCACAGTCCGAACACACACCGCAGTTCGAACACACACAGCGTGTATCGTAGCGTCGTAGCGCGGACCTTGGATCTTAGTCCACCTCTTGGCCCGTGTGGCAGCCTGGTGGAAAACACGACGAAGCGAGGACCACAGTCCGAGCACACACACCGCACACACAGCGTGTATCGTAGCATCGTAGCGAGGACATTGGATCTTAGTCCACCTCTTGGCCCGCGTGGCAACCTGGTGGAAAACACAACGAAGCGAGGACCACAGTCCGAGCACACACACCGCACACACAGCGTGTATCGTAGCATCGTAGCGAGGACATTGGATCTTAGTCCACCTCTTGGCCCGCGTGGCAGCCTGGTGGAAAACACAACAAAGCGAGGACCACAGTCCGAACACACACCGCAGTCCGAACACACACAGCGTGTATCGTAGCGTCGTAGCGAGGACCTTGGATCTTAGTCCACCTCTTGGCCCGCGTGGCAACCTGGTGGAAAACACAACGAAGCGAGGACCACAGTCCGAACACACACCGCAGTTCGAACACACACAGCGTGTATCGTAGCGTCGTAGCGCGGACCTTGGATCTTAGTCCACCTCTTGGCCCGTGTGGCAGCCTGGTGGAAAACACGACGAAGCGAGGACCACAGTCCGAGCACACACACCGCACACACAGCGTGTATCGTAGCATCGTAGCGAGGACATTGGATCTTAGTCCACCTCTTGGCCCGCGTGGCAACCTGGTGGAAAACACAACGAAGCGAGGACCACAGTCCGAGCACACACACCGCACACACAGCGTGTATCGTAGCATCGTAGCGAGGACATTGGATCTTAGTCCACCTCTTGGCCCCCGTGGCAGCCTGGTGGAAAACACGACGAAGCGAGGACCACAGTCCGAGCACACACCGCAGTCCGAACACACACAGCGTGTATCGTAGCGTCGTAGCGAGGACCTTGGTTCTTAATCCACCTCTTGGCCCGCGTGGCAGCCTGGTGGAAAACACGACGAAGCGAGGACCACAGTCCGAGCACACACCGCAGGCCGAACACACACAGCGTGTATCGTAGCGTCGTAGCGAGGACATTGGATCCACCTCTTGGCCCGCACTCGTGTAAATGTTATCACAATGTCAGAAACCTGTCTGAAAACCTGATCAAAATTCGCGCACCTCTGAAAGCTGAAAACATCTCCTGACATTCTGTAGAACTCACACCATCAATATCAGAGTAAGTTTTCAGAATTTCAGCTTTCAGAGGTGCGCGAATTTTGATCAGGATTTCAGACATGTTTCTGACATTCTGACAAAATTTACACGAGTGCGCGTGGCAGCCTGGTGGAAAACACGACGAAGCGAGGACCACAGTCCGAGCACACACCGCAGGCCGCGCTAGCCGAGTGTCCCCGCTACGGCTCCGGCCCGGTGCGCTGGGTCGCTGGGTCGCCTGGGTACACTCCGCTCCGCGACCACGACCACGGACTCCATGGCGAGGGCCGTAATGAAGGCGATCGGAGGCTTATTTTCGGCCTGCCCCATTTTCCGTGGCGCCGCGTGAGTCGGTCGCTCGGTGATGACGCGCGCATCTACCTCTCTCTTTCTCCCTCACCCCCTTTCTCTCTTCCTCTCCTTCCTTCCCCACCCTCTCAGAGTCTCTCTCTTCCGCTCTCTCCCTCTTTGAGTCTGATTCCACGCTTTCGCGCTTACCACGAGCACCCGGCACATCATCCGGGCCGTGGCCGTCCAGCGCCAACCTGGCCAGCACCCGCCAGCACCAGCGGACTGAGAGTCATTTTCGTCGCTCTTCCTCTCTCGCAATCATGCATAGTTTCCTCTATATGTGTGAGAGAGACAGAGCGACGAAAAAGACTCTCGGAATCAGTCCGCATCAGGATAGACATAACTCCGAACAGCAACTCTGTCTCTCTCGCTCACTCATTGGGCGTCGCGAGCGGGTGCGAGAGAGACAGAGTGACAGGGCACTGCTTGGAGTGGGCCTGCAGGGCGGCGGGGCGGCGGAGGGCCGCGTGATTACGGGTCATCAGGCCACCTTGTGCGCGGCCCGGCCGGCACGCCGACGGTGGCACGCCGACGGTGGCACGCCGACGGTGGCACACCGCGGCACCGCGCGCACCGCGCCGTCGAGTCACGGCCCAGAGCCGCCTCGCCGCCTCCCTCTCTCTTGCACCCCTCCAGGACGCCCCACGTGTACGAGAGAGAGAGAGACAGCGACGAAAGGACTCTGCGGAGGCGACGGACGTCCAGTCCAGGGACCGCACCGCGCAGCACCGCGCGGGGGCGGCGGCGATAATTAGCGCTGATTAGACAATATGGAGTGTGTGTATGTTTGTTAGATATGTATGTGTGTATGTGATATGTGCAGAGTGTGTGTGTGTGTGTGTGTGTGTGTGTGTGTGTGTGAGCGCGTGTACGCGCGCGTGATGGAGAGGGCGGCGAGAGCTTCCGCGCCATATCCTTCCAAGAAGCGAGGGGCGAGACGCGAGAGGCAAGTAGAGGGATGGGGTGGCGAACTCTGGCGGTGACGAAGGGCCACACAAAGGGCCACACAAAGGGCTACGAATGACCACGAAGGGCCAAGAAGGACCAAGAAGAGGGTGAAGAAGCAAGAAAGGCCGCACAAGGGACCACAGGAAGGTCCACAAAGGGCCAAGAAGGGTACAAGAAGGGTCAAGAAAGGCCTAAAGAAGGGCCACAAAGGGCCAAGAAGGGCCATAAAAGGCCAAGAAGGGCTAAGAAGGGTCAAGTAGGGTCAGGAAGGGAAGGACTGAAAAGGGCCATGAAGGTCCAATGAAAGAAGGCCCACACGAAGGCCACGGAGGCCCATACGAACGCCCACAAAAATGCCCACCAAGGGTCGCGAAGCGCCACGCGAGGGGCAAGGCGAGGGGCAAGGCGAGGGGCCACGGGGAGGGAAACGAGGGGCCTCGAAGGGCCACACAAACGGCCACGCAGGGCCACGAAGGGCACACCAGCTCGGGCGCCATCAATTGGGCAATAATTGGTCCGATTAGGGCCTCGCTGGCCCTGCCCCTGAGTTATGTGTTGAGGGCGTAGGGCCTTAGCAGCCTTAGCGCGACTCGAGGGGACTCCCCCCCTCTCCCTCCTCCTCACGCAGTATACTTTGACTGCGGGCCCTGCGGGCTTTGCCCCCTCCCGACTCAAATCCACTCCGTCGCGCCGCTCGTCGTTGTTGCGACATCAAACTCCGCTTTTCTCGTCCGGCAAGGACCGGGAGGGAGAGACGCATGGCCGGAGAAACCCAGAGAGCGCGCAGCGCGCGCAGTTCCGAAGAAATTTGGAACTCGAACTGCTGCGAACTCGCTTGTGCGAAACACGCGATATTGGCGCCACGCCCCACTCGTCACGCCCAGAGCCCCAAGTCCGAGTTGTTGACTTTTTCGCGCTCTTTTTCAGAAGACATCGGGTGTCCATCAGGGCATCTAATTGCAATCGTCACGCTGGGTTCTGGGGTATCCCCGGCGACCCCGTCGTCGTCGTGATAGTCCGTGATGCCGCCCTCCCCCCTCCAGCCCTGCACGTCACGCCGTGCACCACGGCGCCACCCCTGTGGCTCCGCTCTTGGTTCATCTAAAAACTATTAACAACATTGTTTCTATAAACAACTTCGTCAGCGACTCTGCTGACGTCATACAGAATGGAAACACTGAGAAAAAAGGTCTCAAATTATTTTTACCCAGTGAAAAGAATTTTTTTGAATACACCAAATCACGTTTAAAATGTTGAACACACACCGTCATTTTCAGTTCGAATTTTAAATAAAATGATATATAAAATAAAAACGAAACGTACGGACTGTTGCTTTCGAACAAGTGCGACATTGCACAAGCACGGGCTTCACCGGGAAATAGTTAGCGTCCGAAAGTTTCGAAAGGTGCGGGAATGGCGCCACCGCGACCGGATGCTATAGAAGCTGTGCCCTGATTGGTCGCACCTTGCTCTGTTGGGACAAGTGTGGTGTGGGTGCGTCGGTGTGAATCAGGCGTGTTTGTGTGCGTTGTGTGTGTGTGAGTGAGTGTGTGTGTGTGGTGGTGTATACGTTGGACACAAGTGCTCTTGATGGGATAAATTTTATTTGATTTACAGTAAGTAAGTGCGTGCCTTTCGAAGTAAACAGTGACGGATAGAAGTGTGTTCGCTGGAGTCCGTGTGGGGAAAGTGGTATGATCGGGGCTCGCATAAGTTGCGACGATTTTGAAGCTCAAAATATGCAGCCGCCCGTATGGCACGTTTTCTTGGCAAGCTGTTCTGTGTTCGTGACTAAAAATAACGCAGGGGATCGCTAACATTGAATGTTACTATCAAGAACTGATCAAGGTGTGTTGCCATCAAGTGTTTCTACCCACGTCTGAAGTGTCTGGACGCTTGTGACACGGACAATCTGAGTTTTCCTCTCCAAAAAACTGCTGTTGATTGTCAACCAAGGTGGTCTCCAATGCCGAAGATCTCTCCTCAGTCAGACAGTGCATCAAGTGAGAAACTTGCTCTGCGACCAAGATATTTTCAAGTCAGACGTCTGAACCAACTGAAAGAAACGTTAATCGCTGAAAATCAATCGGAATTTCCGAATGCAAGCGCACCCGGGAAGTGTGAAAGAGTGAGGTTATAATCGCCTATGTATGCCTCTGAACGCGTAGCCGGACGCCCGGTTTTGTCGTGTGCCTTTTTCCTCTTTTCGACTTGGACTTCTTGATTCCGGTCAATAAGTCATTGGACCTTTTCAAATTTCGTCTCTGTTAACGTCATGGCGATGTCAATATTGCCGCGCCCGTGGCGCGGATTTGTTACGTGTACGCGTCGGGGTTATGGTGTCCATGGGTCCTGTGAAGGTTAGGGGATCAGCGGTTATTGTTTTTAAATGTAGCAGACAGAAACCTCGCTGACAAACTTAATTTGGTTCTGATAACGCTTCTGCTCAACTGGTACTGCCTTGTATCAATGATTGATGGCCATCTGCCTTTGATTTAGGATCTGTTTCTACATGTAAATAATAGCCAGACTCAGCACTTGTTTCTTGTGGCCACTAGGTAGTGTTCAAGGTAACGGATACTGTGAGCTATTTCTGCTTGTGGGGTTGATTCCATCCTCTTTGGTTTTCTACACTCTCTGGGCATCTTAATATTATGTCTTTTAATGGTGCTCTAGTTAGAGGCAACTGTGAGCTTTGTTACCAAGAACGAGATATTTTCCGCTCACCTTGATAACTGGTTTAAGTTGTGAGATACAGGAATATGTTGTGGGAGGAAAGGGAGGAACTAACATAAATTGTTTCATTATGTTACTTACCTAAATTATGATTATTTCTCTTTATTCCAGCGAGAGGCCTTATTCATTATGGAGACTGGTCTTCTCAATTTTCACGATGAAGAAACTTTTGCAACCTCAATTTATGATCAGGTACTTGTATTGATTCCTATAATCTGATTTTCAGACCATGTAATTTTGTTATCATTATTATAATTTTTATCATTTTGATTTCAATAGGGTGACTTCAGTGGAGTTGATGGTCAAAGTTCTCTCTATGATATGATGCATAGTGATTTGCAGTACAGTTCTGATTACACAAATCAGTCTGTTGTACATTGGGATTCGGATCAAGAGCAAGAGTAAGAATCGATTTAAAAAAAACAAAAACAAAAATAAACAAATATACACATGTAACTTATCCTAAAAATATTTAGAAGTTTTCTTTATTTATTACAACCTTTTTCATTTATGTTTCCAGACACAATGGAGATCTTGCTGTTCTTCCAGTAGCACCATCAGAGTGTAGTAGCCTGAACAGCAGTAAAGAAGATTATAGCAAGTCACTTTTTGAATGGCAGGATGGTCTATTTACATATCAGGTAAAATATTCATAATAATATTTCTCTTTTAGATATTTTAGGAGGTAAATGTTATAATTTTACCTTTTTCTTGTAGCCTCTAGATCCTGATGTTGTGTGCATGGATGGCCAAGTCATTCCCTCTGAATTACCTGACAATATATTTGAAGATTCAATTGAATCTAATACCAGCACTTCAAGCAGCTTACACAAGCCTGGGTATGTTTGAATAGGCCATGCCATAAAAATTGATGTATTTCACCTTGGTGACCGTTGGTGTAGAATATTACCGTCTCACTGTAACCACATCCTTTCATTTTCTGATTCTCAGGCTTTCAGCACCACTTGCAATACCAGCACGATGCAGCACACCTATTCCTTCTCCAAAAAATACAACTGTTTCATCTGATGCGAGTCTAAATTTAGACATGTCTCTGTCAGCACTAGATGTGAATGTTTCTGACATTGATGTGTCAGCACTCGGAATCAATGTTTCTTCTTTAGACATTAAGGCAGATAATGTTGACAATGAAGTAAAGTCTGTGAAAGCGAATGGGGCTGGTAGTCAAGTTGATGATAAAACAAAAAGTTTGGATGAAATCCTGAAAACAGAAGAAATATTGCCATCTCCAGTGAAAAGTGGCTTAGACACTGTTGAAGACCCTGAGTTTGCTGCTATATTTGGTGCTGCCCAGGAGGCTGCATCCAAGGAAAATTCAATACCATCTCTGAACGGGTATGTGTTTCTAAAATTTTGTGTAGCCAAGGGCCTTATTTTATGTTAATTCCAAATAATTTTTTTGTCAACAGGTCTCAGTTACCTCTTCCCTGTCCTGATGTAGAACAGCTTCATGACATAGCCATGGAGTTTATCAAAGAAGAACAAGAGGCACAAGCATGGAACAACTTACCGCTTGACTGTAATGTTGACTTGGATGCTATAGACGCGGCAGTGCCAGGTAAAGTAATTCAGAGTCAAGTTTAGGATTGTATTCTTATTACTATGTCACAATTGTTGCTTCTATTAATTCTTGGGTTTAATATTGCAGTCTTGGAGGCTGGGAACTTGGAGAGTCTTCTGGAACAATTTGAAGCAACGTTGAAACCACCTCCAGAATTTTCGCAGTCCATGCCAGCATCTCCAGCACATTTCTCCGTACCACCTTCACCTTTGTCAATGCCTGCTTCGCCATTGTCAAACCACAGTGCCAATGCTCCAATTTCTAAGACCTCTCCATTGCCCTCACCTTTGTCTTCTCCTGCCAAAGGCAAGAGGGAAGCTTCTACACCGAAGAAATCGTCTCCATCAACTAAAGGAGTATCTTTACTCCATCAAAATATACTGGAGTCATTACCCACAGAAATTATGGACAGAATCAAGGTATAAAAAGAAGAAGGCACTGACCTTTTCCTTATTGGGTAGTTTCAGCCTAACTAGTTGCACTATTACTATGTATCTTCAACTTTTGTAGGCATCGGGATGCAAGAAGACAATACCATTGATTCCAGCAATGCCAAGCAAAAGACCCAGTAGGTCTGGTACCCGTATGCATGCCGCAGGAGCAGCATTAAGTAGAAATAAATTATTGAAGCTGGTCTCCCGGAAAAGCACAGGTGGAGAAAATATCCAACTGGACCACGATTACTGTAGTAATGATTCATCAAACAATATAGAGTTTGTTGTAAGTCTTTTTTCAATAGCTTTTGCTAAGTTACTTTTTACTGCGGTGATGCATGAAGCATTGTTGAATTTCAGTAAATTACCTCTCTTTGTTCTGTTCATACAGCCGGATAAATTGGTCATGGACATTCAAGCAAGCACAAAACAGATGGAGTGGGATGAAGACAAATCCCGTAAGGACAGTGGTCTGGAATCAGGTGATGTCAGTGAAGATAGTGAAGGGGCTGCTGTTCCATCAAATTATAGCTCTGGTTATGATTCAAGTAGTGGCTCTAGGAGTAAAAATAGCTTGCTGAAGCCAAGAACCATAAACCAAGGCGGGAGAAACAAGGAAATGTTAATGGTGTCTGTTTTGAAGAAAGTTAGATGTGATACTCCTAAATCACCTTCAAGTCAACAAAATGTTGTGCAACAACCAAAACAAACTCCTAAGACTAAAAATTCTGCACCTCTGTGTGCCACTAAATCTCCTTTGCAAGTTGATGCTTCTCTCAAACCCCTTGTAAAACAATCAAAACCGGTTCAAAGTCTTGTGGAGACAGTTAAACTACCTCCCAAAGCTATAGAAGTCAAAACTCAGTCAAAGGAAGTAGCTGTTGACCATTCTAGAAAAGATGCTGTTAAATCTACCATGACACCTGTCGAAGTACCTCAGCCAGTTGCTAAGCCACTTAAAACTATTGTCAAAACTGAACCGCCAGAGGCGCTTACACCCACCGAGACCCTGGTTTCTGTTGAATCAAAGCCTGTTGATGTGACTGTCCTTACCAAGCCTCTTGAACAACCTAAAAAACGTAAACTTAACTTTGAAGAGTATCGGAATAGACAACGTGCAATGGAACAGAAAAAGGAGAGCACAGTTTCTCCTAAAGCTGAACCACTCCTTGAAAAGAAGTCTGGTTCAGAAGAAATGGAGGCTGCAAACTTTAAGGATGTTAAGCCAGTACACTTGACAGTTACTGTCAAGGAGGAGAAGAACTTGGATCCTGTTCCCCTTACAAGCAACCCCTCTGTAACAATCAAACAGGAGAAAGAAGAGATGGCTGTGTGTGACACAGCTGTCCCTGTGGTTGACAACCAGAAAAGTAACCTTGAGCCTGCATCTCATCCTAAATTATTAACAGTAAAGCAAGAGAAGGATTTGGAAAGTGCCCCTGAAGTTATTGTTGTAGAAGAGGATTCAAATGATTCCAATTCAAAACCTGTGGAAGATAAAAAGAAACAACGGCAATATCGTACTAGACACTTAAGTACATCAAGCAGTGATGGATCCCCTCAATCCAAGCCAGTGATTAAGTCCAGGTATGCTTCATTTCTAGGCCTGTCATTTAGTGTTAGACCTGCATCATGATTTGTAAAAGTTTGAAACATTTCTTATATTTAAAATATTTTTCAACAGAAGGGAAAACCCCCCTAAGAAAGCAGTGTGTTCACCATTAAGGTCCAGGTCTCGAACTGTGTCATCATCGAGTTCAAGGTTGGTCTCACTCAATCAGGAGTCTGTTTGTTAAAATCATACAATCCATGAATTTTTTAAAAATCAACTCATGAGCAATTTGTGATGGAATTTTTTTCTCTCCCCCTCAGAAGTGCCAGCAGTAACAGCAGCAGGAGTAGCAGCAGCAGCAGTGACAGCAGCAGCGCATCCTCTAGCAGCAGTGCAGGCAGCACGCACAGCAGTGGCAGGAGAAAGAGGACCACCAGGAGGAGGAGACGCAGCTGCAGTCGCAGCAGTCGAAGCTCATCCAGGTCCACCCGAAGAAGCAACAGCATTAGCAGTGGATCGAGCCGCCGCAGCAGCCCTCGGTCTGCCCGTTCAAGACGACGCTCTCGCTCCAGATCTCAAAGGCGGTCCAGGCGGGACCGCAGCGTGAGCAGCCGTCGCAGCGCGAGCAGGGGAAGGAGCAGTCGAGGCAGCAGGAGCGGAGGGTGGAAACGCTGGAGGAGGGACTCGAGCAGGAACAGAGGCAGCAGCAGCAGTCTCAGGAGGTGAGTGTCGTATCGTTGGATAAAAGTGTACTCACAATTTGTGATTTCTAGTCTCAACTGAAAATGATGTAGGCATCTATTCTTGACACGCTGGTTTACATTTTTACTTCTTGTAGGGTTTATTATTACTATTTTTGCATTTTGCACTAATTTTTTCTTCAACTGTCCTTGGTTAACTAGTATCGTATTAGTATTGTTTTTCATTAGGGTAGCAGTCGAAACATTTGTTACGGAAGAGATTAATGCTGTTTTAGGGAGCGCAGCAGAAGTAGGCGGGGACGTGGTGGATCTTGGAGCAGTTATCGTTCTTCGTCCGGGTCTCGTTCACGATCTCGTTCTACCTGCCAACAACACCGAGGTCGGACCTTTAGGTCGAGGTCTCGCTCCCAGTCCCGACCCCGGGCTCGCCGCCGGTTGTGTTCTTACTCATCCAGATCAGAGTCTAGGTCGAGATCCCGCTCGAGCCGATCCAGGTCGTATTCCTCAGGCTGTGGTCGCCATCAGACTAGGTCTAGAAGTAGGAGTCGCGATATTAAGAGAGCCAGAACCAGAGCCAGAGCCAGAGCCAGGAGGAGGAGGGGAAAGAGGGAAGGAAGAAGGTCCTGGAGGTAAGAGAACCATTGTTTTGTGGAGGATGAGGATGGATTCCTGGATTGGATACGCGCTCTTCCAGCTGTCTCCCACATCACATTTGTGTGCGGTTTATTGCTGCTGAGCAACATTATGCATCATCATCAGGGCGTAGCCCCCATTTGTTACATTTTAATACAGCATGCGGTTGGAATATTTTACATGTTGAGCATTGTAGTGTTGATAACCTTTGTCCATCAAATAACCCCACTTTGATTGGTTTATGTGTTAATAACAGGAGGTCTAGGGGCATATTTATGTGTATTCTTCTCGCTTTCCCCAAACTGTGAACTGTAGATGTTTTCATTTGAATTATGAACCCGAAAGTAATCTGCCATTCCAGTTCCAATCCCCTATCCTTTTTGTACTTTTCTGTTGTTAGTGATTTTCCATTGTGAAAGAACCCCATTTGATTTGGCTTATGGTGTAATAGTTGTTCTGTGTCTTGAGTTAAGAATTTGTGATAACGTGGGATACATCAGTACCTTGTGGATATTTTTTTTTTGTTTTTTTGTTCCCCTTGTTTTTACTTATTTAATGCTATTTGTTATTTCAGATCCAGATCACCAATGCGAAGAAATGTTGACTGGTCTCATGTTGAAAAGGAGCACAAACGTCAAGTTGAGGAAAGAAGAGTAATATATGTTGGTCGGATTCCTGAGGATACCACCAAAGCAGAACTGAGAAGAAGATTTGAGGTGTTTGGGCCAATTGTGGACATAAACCTTCACTTCAGAGAGCATGCGTAAGTAGTTTCAGCTTTTTATCTCCTTGCTGTCATAGTGTAAATAAAAATTGTACCTTTTGTACTCATTATGCCTCTTTACTGTTTTTGCTGATACTATTTTGTTTTATTATTATAGGGACAATTATGGTTTTGTAACATTTGCTTATAAAGTAGATGCTTATGAAGCTGTTGAACGGGGAAATGATGATCCTACTCAACCTCACTATGATTTGTGTTTTGGAGGAAGAAGAAAATTTTGTCGAGAGCGGTATGCTGACCTTGGTGAGTGCCTCTTTCTGCAGTCCAAGCAGTGATTTCTTGCCATGAGGCCTATGGCTAATTTTGCACATTATTTTCAGACGGAATGGCTTGTAATAAAGGAAGCTTGGGAAATGTACCCCACATGAATCGTGGAAATGAAAGCAACTCATTTGATGACATGCTTCGTGAAGTCCAGGCCAAGCTAAATGCAAGAAAGAAGCTATGACATTGGGCTCTTTGTTACATGTAGTAGTGTTAGGATGGGTTCACTTGTAACCAAAAATTACTGTATGCAGCATTGTTACCTAGGTAAAGGCACTGAGGTGAATAGATAGCCTAGGCTACCTTGAATATTTTCAGAAAAGCTTTTCTTTAATAATCGAAGGGAATAAAGGTGATAATTCTAATCCTCTGTGAAATAGTGTGTGATAATTAAGACTTATTACTGCTTTTGATTAAATGAGATGATCTTCATCTCAAATAATAATGTTGGCTTTAAATTGGTGCCTTCTCTTTTCTCTGTATAGGCAGCACCTAGAAATGTGTGCATATTTTATCAAAAATATTCTAATGCATTGAATTTAACTAATGAGGCAACTACTTGGCCCGTTGTGTAATTTTCTGTAAAAAGCTTTCAGTCACACCTCAGTGCTTCAGAATAGTACAAAGCGGAGGAAAACTCTGAAGCTGTTGTTATTTGTAAATGATTAATGTTATAAATTTTGGTAGCCATAGGAATGCAAGAACTGCTGGCCGCTTTGTGAAGTCATGATTTCTACTTGGTTACTCCACATAATTCTGATTTTATTACTTGTGTCTTGGCTTCGTTCGTTTCCTGCAAATGTTGGGGAGTAATTCAGTTATGTGCTGAGCCCGGATAATGACAAAAAGCTTTGTTTTATTATTTTTAATTTTATATGTGTTTTTGTTTTTACATTATGTAAAATGCTTAGCATATCTTAATGTCCTTGTGTTCTGGCCTATTTGGTTATTGTTTCCTCGCCAAGATTCTGTAGTAAAATCAAAGTTTAGGAATAGAAAGAGTAAGGCTCAAACATATATACTTAATTCTTGACAATGACCAAACTGGAGTATGGGTCTGGAATAGTTTGACTACAATATTTGTGGCATTGTTTTATGCTTTTGTGCTTTGTAAGCAGACTGTTCGAACATTTGGTTTCCAAATAATCAGCACTCTGCTTATTTTCATTTTCTGATGCTTGGTCTCTGCAGTTCTTTGTCTTCAAATGTGTGTGTTAGATTGTGTAGGTAGTGCATGTGTTAATTAAAGTGGATTCACTAAGATGTTAAAGTCATCCATCATACTATAAAGTTGGGTGTTTTACCGTGAGGTGGTTTTATTTTCATGTGGCAGTAGAGGATATGGATGTTGCTAGGACAGTTTCAGACTACATAAAATACTGTTAATCCTGTGACTTTGATGCTAGTCTCAGGAATAATAACTTTGTTCCTGTAGGGTTTAATTGAAGCTCTGTTAATGATAAATTCGAATTGCCATAATAGGATACATTTGCCTCTTACTTTTTTTCCCAGTGCTAGATCTCCAAAAAATCCTGAATATCTGATGTTGTTCAAAATTAATATGCACATGGAGAAAGGTAATTTTGAACCAAGATATTGAATCTTAAAGTTCAAAAAACATCCTTGTTGAATAAGGTCCCCTCAACCCAATGTTTGGCCTAGCTCAAAATCGAAAGCAGATTTGTTCAAAGGAAAGATGCTGAGAGAAGGTCGATTGATCAGTGCCCAATTTTTGACAGTTCATCAAGTCTTTCAATATTTTTACTCAATGATCGGTTTATTCAATGGGAGCTCTTAAGCGACCTCTCCTTTAAACAAATCTGGAATATGCTTTCAGTTTTGAGCTACGTCGCATAGTATGGGTGGAAACTTTTCTCAAACCTTATCTCAATTACGAAATAATTAACAACAAAATTCTTTAATCTGGACGCTTTCATCATTGTAACTTCTGAACTAATTTTGGAGATGTACAATTTTTTGGAGATATGGCACCTGAACATTGCCGAGTTACATGGGTCTATTTTTGAGAATCAGACAAAAAAGGCATTGGATTTTTCTGTAAAATAGTATATAGCTCTCACATCTATTTGATGCTTGTTGATAAATTGGTGTCTTTCAACGACTTTGTCTTAGTTCTGTCCTGTGAATAAATATTAGCTACCTACATTGTAGTGCAAGAGATGAAGAGAACTTATGAATGTTGATCATTGGGTTCATCCATGTGTATGCTTATTGCAAGCTTCAATTAGGTAGGGTCTCTTAGGACTAGTGTAATTATAGTACATGTGTAGAAGAGCTGTTATTTTCTCTTATCAATGTTTCAAAATTGTATGGACCTTGGCTGTAATTGAGTGGTTATGGTTTTGAAAACACTTTTGTGATTGAAATGACTTCTTGCTCTGGAATAATGTCTGTGATTTTTGAATGGGTGATGAGTAAGAAACGTTATGCTGTGTTAATGTTTGACCAGGAAGGTTTTCTGCTATAGTGGAACATAATGCAGCCTCACAGAAACTTTCTCCCAAAAAGCGTTAAAATTTCTTCTGTGTAGGTCAATACACATTATATTTCATATGTTAAAATTTTCAAACATTGCAAGATTAGAAAGCACTGTTGTAGAAATGCTAATGAAATCTTCCATTGAATATTCTTGTAATATTACTTGTAATCTTTACTTTTCTTCATAATATTACCTTTGGGTAACATATTTTGTGTGAATTGCAGATCAGAAGTATATTTTGTATACCTATCAACATCTTCACAAAGGCAACTTAATTGAACAGGGGTATTTTGATATCATATAGCTGTCCTGAAGTCTCAAATACTCTCATGTAGGTACTTCAGTAATTTGAAGTATTCTGCCAGAATAGTATTCTTATTTTTTGTCCAGTGTATCTGTAACTGAAAGTTGACATTAAAAACAAAACATAACCAGTGTATCAGTCAGGTGCATGGTATTCCTTTCCTTTACGATGGTAATTGTAATTTCTTCTATTTCATGGCTATTTTTGATGCACTGTCCTCTCCCCTTATGGGAAGATGGCAGGTATACACAGTATGTTAACCCTCCCTCTTTTGTGTAGGAGTAGCACCACTTAGTGACTTTAGCTTCTCATGGAAATCTCTGAAGTAGCATTTGGAACTGGACATTTGTGTCTGGAGAGTGTCCTCTCCATAGCTCTTATTTTCCATTAGAAACTTGCACTGACAGTTTCTTAGGATGCTTCTTTTCATAGCCACTTTAGCTTTCATGAACATTATTTAATGTGGTTGTGGAGGATGTTTTACCTAAGGTGATATATTCCTTTGTGATTGTATATTTTGATGTGATTTAAGACAATGGTATTGGAAATAGTTTGTCGAAACTTATCTATGATATAATATTGTGACATTTCAATGTCTTTTGTGCTAAAATGTAGACAGCTGGTATAGGTCACAGCTATGCCTCATGCTCCCTAATCAGTGACTTAAAAAAGCCAAGAAGAGAAAACACAAATGCGTACTTGCATTTCGCACATTATTATTTTAAGTTTCAATCTGTTCCTTGAAAAAGAAAAAAGAATAGATGTTGATGTTCTACGGATCTATTTAATTTAAAATCTAAGGTTATTTAGAATCTTGTCTCTTTGTTTTTTTGTTTCATGCTCATTTCTGTTACTTTGATTACCTGTTACTGGGAAACATTTCTCAGCTGGTGGGACTGACTATAATTGCTGAGAAATTATACTCCTTATAATACATAAGTAATTTTTTTTTTTTCAAGTCAAATGCATTCATGACTGATTTAGCCTGTATTGCAATTACTGTTTTGGGAGTCTGAAAAGTTTAGGGTTCATTTCAAGTGATTTTCTTTTAAGCAATTGCAAATGTGTACATTTACTGATTTAACTAAAATTGTGTTCAATCAATTAATTTTAGAATGTTTTCATTAAAAAGACAGTTGTCTTTTGCATTCATATTCTGCTGCACTTTGCAAAAGTCACATGGGCAAGTAGTATTTATGCAAATGTCCGGCTTGTAGTATACTTTCTCCTGTATGGAAATTATGCTTCCAATATCTCAGGAATTATTTTAAACTTGGTACTATCTTCCTACCGGTACTTTATATTTTGTGTGGTGAAAATATGTGCCAGTATTTTATGTGGTGTTAACTTGAATCTGTTGCATCTTCGTTAAATTGTTTACCTCCTGGAGAGGTAACTCCTAGAGCAAGTGCTAATAAACTGGGATGAAACATCTTGATCATGTGGAGAAAACCATCAAGTGTTCAGATGTGATCTTTAGTGTCAGTTTTGTTTTCTATGTATTCATTAAAATCAATATCTACGGTTGAACATAATGTTCAAAGTAACTTCCTTCTTATGCCAAGTGAGAGGTCTTTTAAGCTAACAAATACATATGCTAGTATTTCTTGTGTATATTTCAGTCATTTTGTTTCATTATTTGTTCTTACTTGATATTACGCCTCAGAGCAGCTCTTGCTGCATATTTCTATGTATATTTATGAAGTGACAATTTTAATCTTAATGTTATGATGGAAAAATAAAAGGGAATAAAAAAAAAGTAAAATTAAAAGGTGATAAAGCAAATAAAAAAAGAAGAAGAAAGGAACCTGAATGATTGATAGATTGCTAGGTCTTGGGCACTGTAATGTGTGTAAGGTATTCCTGCATACTATAATTTCATGAACTGAAAGGAAATTCTATGACAAATAAGGAGAGTCCGTAGTTTCGCGGATGATGATATTTTCTTTTCACAGCGCACTCAACGCCAATGTGATTGTATCCAATCGTCTTGTGTTACATTTCAGTTGTGATAATAAAGAATCTTGTTCAGTGAATTGGTGATTATTTCCTATCGGATCCTATTCGTTTAAAATTCAAAAATTTCATCAAATTGCACCTTGTATTTCCCATGGGACAATGTACACCAACTTTGGCCCTGTAAACAAAATGGAAACCCAACAGGCACATTCCACATTCAGGCATCAAGAACGCTTGTAAGTAGGCTAAATGCGTGGCAAACAGGTCCAAAATTTTACACATTCTAGTACATCCCCACAATCAATCCTATGCTGTGCACTCTACGCTAAATTGGCGAGTGGTTCGCCCCTTGCATCCCATTTGTAATTCATTGGAAGTCTATCGGGCCTGCCCCTGGCCACCTGCAAGCGGTACGAGCCGATATTGGGAGACGGCGAGACGGGCTTGACTGCTTGGCTCGGCTCGGGGAGTGCCATCAAGTGCCATTGTTGTCGCCAGGAAACGCAAGCAAGGCGAGGCGAGGCACCGCGAGGCACGGGAGAAGAGAAGGCAAGGCAGGCTGGAGGGCTGACGCTGAAGGCTGGCGAAGGCGAAGGCCCGGAAGCCGTGCTGCAGGTTGATTCCGAGAGTCGTTTCCGTCGCTCTGTCTCTCTCGCACTCATGGGGCGTCCCGTGCGGGTGCGAGAGAGACGGAGCGACGAAAACGACTCTCGGAATGAGTCTGCAGGGGAAGGGCCGCGACTCGAGCGAGCCGGCGGCGTGGGAGAAGGGGCGCTGCGGACGCTACGCCACTGCCGGCAGCAGCGGGCAGCCGCGGGGGCGACCCAGGACCCAGGCCCAGGAGGGTGACGGCGGAGAGCTGCTGACGTCCTGCTGACGTCCTGCTGACGTCCGACCCGGCCGAAGGGGGAGTCTACTGCACCGCAAGCGCGCACTTCTACCGGTGAGACTCTCATCGGTAGCTCGGGGGTGCGGCAACTACGCTAATGGCTGCCTGCCGTGCCAAACAACTCATACAGGACATGAGCCCCGTCTGAACCCCGACGGCGTTAGACTCGACGTGCGGGACCCGACCACGATCCGACCCCAATACTTTAGCTGAACTCAGGCAGGCTGTTTGGCTCACGTCATGAACTCCGCGAGAAAGCCTTTACCGGCACACTGTAAGTCAGTAGTGATTCGCGCCAGGAGTTTGCGCCGCGAAGCCGCGAACAGCTGATGGCTGCTGCAATGATTCAGAAGTGCGTGACGGTAACGATGGCTGGCCGTGCTTGGCTGTGCTCGCTCAGACATGAATGAGACAGATTCCGAAGTCCGGACGCTCCGCGGCCGTCAATTTTGCGGCGTATTGCTGCTCCATGAATGCTATCCAAAGTTACTCCCTCCCCTCCCCGCCCGAAAGGCATTTTCCAATCACCAGATTCCACGCCGCGGCCGCGAGGAAGCCGAGCGCGAGCGCCTGGCGGGACGGGGGTGGGCCTGCCCGCCACGCACGCGTGTCCGCGGCGTGGCCCACCCTCGGCATGGCGGGCGCTCGGCTCGCGCTCCGGTGTGCTCCCACGCTTCGCTGCGGCAGACTGATTCCGGGAGTCGTTTTCGTCGCTCTGTCGCTCTCGCACCTGTAAGGGGAGCACCATGAGTGCGAGAGAGACGGAGCGACGAAAACGACTGTCGGAATGAGGCTGCAGAGCGGCTCTCCCGCGGGCCAGTGTTGCCTGAAAGGCAGGCGGTATCCCGAACACACCGGGCTGCTTCACCTCCTACCTACCAGCAGGCTGATTCCGAGCACCCCCCCCTCCCCCTCGCTCTGTCTCTCTCGCACTCATTGGTCGTCCCCTACGTGTGCGAGAGAGACAGTGACAAAAGGAGTGCTCGAAGCCGGCTTGAAGGCAATTCCCGCCACAGCTCTGCTGGCTAGTACTAGCTGTCGGATAAGCAAGAGGAGATGCAGCCCGTCGCACACCGCATCGGTGTGTTTGCTCCACTTTTCCCGCCCTTCTGGCAGCGCTGCCGCGGGCCGCCCCGTCTGTTGTTTCCATTGGGGACCGTCAATATTTTCCCGCCTAGAAGGCGCGAGGCTCGTAGGTTAGGTTTGAGCGCTGCCGTGTTTGGCGGGAATGCATATCTTCCATTTTGTCACGTGGTTTCTGGGCCACACGGTTCGTAGACGAAAAGTGTCTCCTTGCCCCCCCCCCCCCCCCTCGGCCGGCCCTGGATCCGCCACTGACGTGGCCGCCGTGGCCGCCGGGGCCGTGGCCGGGCCGCACCTTGGCGTGCTCGGCGGGCCGGCCTTGAGACTGAGCCCTGGCGGCCCTGGCGGCCCTGGCCGGAACGAGGAGGGATGGCGGCTCACTTTTTCATCTAAAGGCCGTCGGCGGGGGAGGAGAAGAAGGAGGAGAAGAAGGAGGAGAAGAAGGAGGAGGACGGGGAGCAGCCTAACAGCTTCGCCGGCGCCGGCCTGACCGGCCCGACTTCCGCCCTCCGCTCGAAAACAACAGGCGCTGCGGCCTGATTCCGGAGGATCGTGTCGTCGCCCTGTCTCTCTCGCACTCATGGGGCGTCCCGTAGGGGTGCGAGAGAGACAGAGCGACGAGCAGCCCGTCGGAAGCAGGCGGCTGTGCTGGTCCGGCTGGCCGACGGGGAAGTGGCTGGCGACAAAAAGTCATCCTGGCCGCCCCGCCCCGCCCCGCCGCCACGCTGCCACCATGGGGCTGTACACCGCTGTGCGAGTGGCGTGCGGCGTCTCGCGGCGCAGCACACTGATTCCGAGAGTCGCGTTCGTCGCTCTGTCTCCCTCGCACCTGCGCGGGGCGCCCCATGAGTGCGAGAGAGGCAGAGCGCCGAAAACGCCTCTCGGAGCCAGTGTGCAGGGCGGCGGACAAGTTCGGTGTTCTAGGTGGAGCGCGGGGCCGGCGTGATGGCCTCCCCGCGCGGGGCCCGGGGGAGCTGCAGGGAAAGGGGGGGGGATGACGCCGCGGCCGCAGCCCCGCTGGCGCTCTGGCCGACGGGGAGGCGCGGAGAGGCGCGGAGGGTTGACGAATCACCGGTGATCAGCGTCTGATACGGCGATGTCTTTTCCGGGGTCGGGTTGTGTTAGGGCCGACGGGCAGCCAGCAGCCAGCTAGCGGTTTCCAGGGGCGTTCTACAGTGGGCCAGAAGACCGGTGGATGCGGCCAAAACTCTAGACGCGTTTTGAGCTCTAGAGTCGATAAACAGGCCTCGAGCCTAACGTGTGACCCCACCAATGGATTCCTCGTTCGGAGAGCCATCCGTTCGGTTATCGAGTCCCATTCGGCGACTCAGGAGCTCAAAACGCGTCTAGAGTTTTGGCCGCCTCCACCGGTCCTCTGGCCCACTGTGTAGGGGCGTTCGTTCGTTCAGACGGCCACGTGCAGCGGAGGGCGGAGGACTTGTTGTTTTTCCTCGTGATCGTCGCGCCGTGACCTCCTTTCCGACGACGCTGACGCGACGCCTGACGCCCGCGGCGGACAGACGATGATGTCACTCGGACCTGACGTCACTCCGACAGCGTGGCAGCCGTGGCAGCGAAGGGACCGGAAGGGTGGCTTCGCGTTACATGGGGCCGCGCAATCGGCCTCGGCGGGGCAGAGATTACGTCCTGTGGGGTGGCACGCCACGCCACGCCACTCCACGCCACGCCACTCCACGCCACGCCGCGCCGGAGCGATTCCGAAAAATCCTTCGTCCCTCCGTCTCTCTCGCGCCCCTACTGGACGCCCCATGAGTGCGGCAGGGACAGCGAGCGGCGAAACGACACTTCGGGATCAGTCTGTTCTTAAGTAATGAGTCTATTTTCGCAACCCGGGTAGGTGACGGAGGGCCGCGGCGCCGCGGCGAGGGTGGGCTGCTTACGAGAAGGCGGGCCTGTGGCTTTCCTTGTCGTGAGGGTGGATCCAGAGAAGGGTTCAGGTGGCGGGGGATATAGCGAAAGTTGTTTGCTTGAAGGCAAAATGCGACTTTCTGCCTACTGGCTACTTCAGGGGGGAAAGGGACAGAGCCACTACAACCCCCTTCTCTCTCGATCTGCCCCTCCCTTGTCCTTGCTCCCCCCCCCCCCCCCCCCCCCGGTCTCCGTCGTCCTGCATGGCACTCACACCGACTGTCCTTGTCTTCCAGCAACGAGATGTACCGCAGCCCGGCCGGTGACTTCTGGTACGGCGACGTGCACTTCGGCGCGGTGCCCGCCAAGTGCCACCCGTACGTCGGCCCCCTCGTTCCCGGCCAGTTCTACCCGGCACCGCCGCCGCCGCCCCGGACCTCGGCGCAGCCGCCGGCGCCGCGCCGCGGCCACGGCCAGGTGCACGCCCCGGTGCACGGCCTCTACCCGCCGCAGCCGCGCCTCGCCACGTACAAGGACTGGCGGCAAGGGTGAGCTCGGACTCGGAGCGGCGACTCGGCCGGCGGTGCACCGCGGCGGTTCGGCGGCAATCCGACCGATTCAAACTTATTTCAATTTGCTAACGGGGAAAAGGGGAGGGGAGGACAACAAACAAGAACCGGGCAACTCCCTCGGAAGCGGGTAAACAGATCCTTACGCAAGGCTTGCAGACTGAGCGTTTGTCTCCCTCGCTCCCGCAACGGAGCCCCGCGAGTGCGAGAGAGACAGCGCGGCGGAAACGCTGTGCGGAATCGCTGTGCAGAGGCCGTTGCGCGCGCCTTGCCGCCATCGAAGAAACCCTAATGTCTCTAAAGCGCAGAGCCAGAGGGGGCGGGGCGGTGGGGGGTTTGCAAAAGCACAATTTCCATTGCCCCCTCCCCTTCCTCGGGCCCCCTTCTTTCTCTCTCTCTCTTGGCCGCTGCCGCCTGAAAGCGATTGGTGCGGCCACACACGTTCCGTTCAAGTCCTGTTAGTGACTCTGGAGCTCGAAACGCGTCTAGAGTTTCGACGGTTTCGACCGCCGGCGCCGGTCATCTGGCCCACTGTGAGCCCATGGCGTGCCGCAGGTACGGCTACGTGCTGCTGCCGGGCGCCGCGTGGGACGACTACTACGCCTCGGGGAGCACCACCAGCACGGCGGCCCGACCGCCGGCGGGCTACTGGGACGACGCGTACCTG